GTGGGATGGGAGCGGAATCACTCTTCTTAATAATGAAGTAAGGAAGCCGGGAATGAAAAAAGGAGAATTCAGGGCAACATACTGACTGATGAGATTGTTATTAGATCTTACAGATGGGGCAGGTTATCTCATCTGCTATTTAACAAGAGGTACTTAGGCCAAGCCACTTAGGATACTGATAAATCTGAAACCTGAGTTACGTCTGCCTCCTCCCTCCATCACCCCCAACTCCAACTTCTTAAGAAGAAGCTGGCAAAAGGCTGGTACAGATTTGTTCATAACAATTCAATTCTACTCTCCTTCACCATCACCCCTCCCCCACAACACACACACACACACACACACACACACGTGCTGGAGAACCACAGTCGAATCCATTTTGTAGGAGATGCCTTCTATTTACAGATTGATAGTTTGCTACAAAAGGAATTCGTGTTCAGAAGAATGACCCAGAAGCACAAGGCGATCTTCAGTCATAATGGAAAAATTAGGCTGTGAGCGCTCTAGTTATATTGACCATAGAATCCAAACAAAGACTTTCTGTGCCACTCCTGGGTTCAAGGGGCAGCTTAGGAGATGTCGTAATATTGGAATATCTGGCATATTTAAATGATTTATGTGGGAACTGTGGCAGTATATTTGAAAGTGGGTTATTCTAGAAAATCAGAAATATATGATTGCCATAACTAACCTGTAATTTGAAAGGCAAGATTCTACATTAATATCTTTGGAAAGGTTTTTAGCCAAGATTTTCCCTGATTAACCTTCATCAAAAACTCCCATTTCCGAAATAATATATTTAATTGATAGTTAACTGAATTTATATTAGAACATTTAAAGTATAAAAATGTCACTTAAGGATAAATTTATTGGCACTTACATGTAACTCAAACTCTAAAGAAGATTCTTTTTAAGATGTTCTAAAATGAACACTGCATTGTTAAATAAAATCTGTGCAACTTGAAAAGAGTTTTACATTTTGCATCTTGGTTTTACATCTCTATCTTCCTCCCAGAGAGTAATTTTTTAATTAAAAATTCCTAGCCTTTTTTTAAAATTGATTTTTAAAAATGATAAATTCTTTGAGAGATTTTATAATCTTTATAATTTATGATCTATTTCCCTTCTGGGATAGAGTTTAATGATGTTATGGAATGTGTAAACGTTTTCTTTCTTTTTCAGCTATCTCAGGGCTTAACATACATTGAAGGTAAATTAGAAGCGTCTGATATCCAGAAGAACTTTCTTTTATTCCTATGCTTTAAAGAAAAGTCTGTGACAATACTGACTGGTTGTATATGGTCAGAGTCAGGTTTACAGAAATGAGAAGGAAACTTCTGGTTCAGGTCAGCTAGCCTATCAGAAATTGCCATCCATTCTGGTCATTTATTTAAAAAAATTTTTTAAAAAAGGCCTGATTCAATGCAAGGGCTTCACATTCAGGCTGGTGAATCAAATTCTAAACAGAGCTTCCAAATCAATTCCATAGCTTAAGTTTAAGCAGACAGATGTCTACCTCGCCTATGGTTTTATTTTTTTGGAATCCATCCTTTTCTGGCGATAAAATTTAAGCTCATGCATTTTTTCTTCTGAGTTGCATATCAATATTCCCCTGCCAAACATACCAATTTATCTGGATATTGACAATATTTTAGTATTTCTTTTTTTCTACAGGGAAGGAAAACTTTGTGAATCTTCCGCTTGTTTTCAAATGACCCTGTCCTGCACTCTCTTTGAGATTTAAGCAAAAGTCTCTTTTCTTCTCTTCTTTCTGATGGTATTAGTTACCATCGTCATGTGGCTGAGAAGCAGAAAATTATGTCCTACTTTAGAAAAACAATTGGGCCTTTTCACCGAAATATTTATTCAAAACCCCATTCAATTCATACGGTGGCTGTCAGTCTTTATTTAGTCTCTCTTTCAGAGGGTATCTTTGATTTTGCCACTTTGACCCCAATTTATATCTCACTAGGAGAGGATTTAGATACTGTTTAATACTTAAAATTCGTGTCCCAGGGCTTTGAGAAGGCAAATTTTCTCGTTCCTCAACCACACACCACTACTGTTTGTTTTATAAATAATTTCTTCTCATTAATGGACTAAATCCTATTTCAAAAGGAAATTTAAATTTTTTTTTTTCCTTTCGATGTGTTGAGTAGGGAGAAAACAGGGAAAAGGGCCAAGAAGTTGCACAGTCGTGATTTCGCCAAAAGTAACTATATTTAGATCACAAAATATTAAGACTTATTCTATGCCCACTGGACAATTAATGCTGAAAACATCTGGAGCAGCCTAAAACCAAGATAATCCAGGAGGCATCTGAATAAAAACTTAGTGCCGCCAGTACCTTCCAGGGGCAGTCTTCAATCGTATTATTTATACCACATTCCCTTCATAACCCCTTAATCCTGACTTCGAATGTTTATAACAAGCAATCCACAGGCCCTACTACAACACGCAGCTGGTTGGCATATCATTTTTCTGTCTTTAAAATTAAAAAAGAAAATAAAGAGAAGAAAGGGAACATTCTTACACCTTTCAAAGTAAGCTCTGGTGTTTCTATGTTCAAAAGTTTTACTCTATTTACTATACACACACACAGTAAAAAAATAAGTAGGATCTCAAGGCAGAAAATAGTTTGGCTGAAACTTAGTACTATTTTTTCCCCCTCTTTGCCCACTGTTTCCTCTGTGTTTAAGAGCACAAACAGATCTGCTTCTCGTCAAAACAGCCATTAAGTAAAATGGAAAAGGTTGTGGTTTTTATATTCTTACTTATACAAACGTAGCCCTAATATACTTTTATTTCAAAAGCCCTAACTAGCTATACCACCCTGAACCAAACACTGTATGGCACAGACATTTGCTAGAATTTTTTAAAACATTTAGAAAATGTTTTAGTTTTACTTAGGCTTAAAAAGTTCATCGCTTGAACAACTAAACTGACCAGTCATAAAGTGGTTTATGGAGGATAAAGCAACTCTGCAGGGGCACTAGCAATATTTACATTTTATTCATTTAACCTAAAGTTGGGGTGTGGGATTCAAACCCTTGTGAAATTGACCACAATAAGCACTAATTGCCCTGCTTACAAAAATAAAACACTGGAATTTCTGAAATCCTTTTGTCAAATGCCTTTATTTACTTTGTCTAATGCAAGTTTCTTTGATTAGCTAAACTTTGCTGTTATCAACACTTCTTGCTTATCGGCTGGCCCTAGGCGAATGACACATTCACCACTAGCTCTCCCTAGATAAAGCAAATCCCTTGTTTAACTTGTTAAAGAACAAACAAAGCTTTTCTCTCTACTCTTACAACTTAATAGGCATGTTTGGAGGGTTAATTACAAAAGAGAGAATGTCTACGGGTAAAAACTCTATCAGGTCTAATAACTTTCTGCCTTTCTGCGAGGATCCTGAACACTTTTTTTTTCTTCTGTTAAAAAATGTTTCGTTACAACTGTTTCTAACAAGAAAAAATTTCGGTGAGCCCCAAGTTCCCTGGGATTCTAACAGAAATTGTTCACACTGTTTTAATTGCTACAGAGAGGACAGGTCTAAAAGATCTGTCAGTGGATTAGAAAATTATTTTGTAACACTCAGTTTCTTTGAGTTCTCTGGAAAGAAAATAGGCAGCAAGAAAGAAAAGGCATCTGAGGAGCAGCTGAAGATTAAGACAACTTCTGCAAAGGATATTCTTTTTGCCCTGTTCATAGCTCTACGAAATGTTAAGTTGGACAGCCAGACTGTTGGAATCAAATGGTTATTGATTTTTCAGCTACAAACCTGTTGATTTCCTGGCCCAAGAAGCAAGTCGTTATTCTTAAGAAAAAGTTTCAGAGAGGGCAATTTAAATCCTGTTGTCATTGTCCCCCTCTCCCCTTTTTCTTTTCTCTCTTTAGATAAGCCACCATGTTATTAGGAAAACTCAATTTCTTCCAGTTAAACTTTGACCTCTTTGAAAACAAAGATTTAAAATGTCATTTTCAGGCTAATGCTCCAATGAATTGTCAAATAAAGTACTAAAAACATTTTGATAGATAGCTGAGCCATTTATCTAAATCACTGTCAAGGGTGGCAAAGCATCCTGCAGGCTCCCACTACAGCCACCCGAGGGTGGGATTTTCTGGGACTCCTGGTCATTTCTCAAGTCTGCAGCCAGGCTACTGTTGACCAGATGTGTTCCTCTGCACCGTGTCAGCGTCAGATAACCAAATAGTCAATATTTTTTTTAAAAACTGGGCTACCCCACTTATATTTCCTTTCCTTTACCCGATGTCCAGGTTCCCGACTGAATTGCAAGATATGGAAATAATGGATGGCTCAGCCCAAGGGGTGTTCATTGCCAGTAGTTTTCTAGCAAAACAGCAACTTCTTAGACCAACAAAGTGACTCGGAAAGGTGGCAGCAGGGTCAATGCTAAGAAATATTGCCTTTCCTTAGCAAGGAAAACATTGGAGGCAGCAGCCTGAACCGGGGGTTTATGAACTTCGGGAGCAGCAGCCACCTTAATTAGGCTAAATTCCTTGCAAGGAAGATGTCATATTTTAATTACTTTGGACTGTTGAAACACACAAGAGGGGAATATATATACAACTAGTAACTAATCCAAAGAACAGTAAAGTTATATTCCCCTGACATACATCTTAGTAAAAACTGCACAATATGTCAAATTGCCCTACTTGAAGAATGTTTCAAAGTCCTGTGGTCACCCTCTACTCCCCCCCGTCCCATGCGTATTTTTAAAACTGTTTTTAAGAGACTGTAAGGTTGGTTAGGAGAGGAGCATGGGTGCAGGAGGGATTATTCAGGGAGAAAACATCTAACAGGAAATTTTCAGCAGAGGGAATCAATATGCACGCCAGCATATGACACCCCTTCAGCATTAAATCATTAAATCCTTTGTCTTGCCACCAGTGCAGTTTATTTCCAATGTCTTTATTGCATGCAAGAGAGACAATTACTTTTTTTCTTGGTAGAAGAAGGGAAAAAATAAACCTACATTGAGCAGTGTGCCGATGCTGCCATTCGGTTTGGGTCAATCCACTGAAGCATGCTTTGAGAGCTTTCTCCTGGAGCATGCAGGAAGACGGACTCGCAGTGTAGAAATCCAGGATTTGCCCAGGACTTACTGACAGAACATCCATACAGTCAAACATGATCTCCCCTGCACCGAATGTCTGCAAAAGTGCTTATCCTCTAGGTGTAGAGGCAAATGGCATAGAAAAGTCCACCCAACTCCATCAAACTCTGCCCCTTTTTTGGCACGTAGGCTGTTGGTCTTTTTCCCAGCCCAGAATCATGAATTATGACAGACAAGCCAGCTAAAAGCCTGTAATTGATCCAAATGATCATTTACCATTTTCCAGGCTTGCTCGGCCAATCCAGCAGGGGCGGGGGGTTCCCAGAAAGATCCCAAGTTCTCCTTCCAAGCAAAAGCCGGCAGAAAGCCTTCCGAATGAGTTCCGGATCCTACCCCGACGGTGCCCAGACAAACCCTGCTCGGATCGCTCGCGTCCTCGGCATCCCAGTCCTCAAACAGCTCGCAAGGGGGAATGCTGGTCCCCCCTTTGGCAAAGAATAGACCCTCCTGCCTCTGAACAGCTCACTTCCTACTACTCCTGTCACACAGAATGAAAGATTGAATTGCCTAATATATGCGAGTGAACTTTCGGTGAACCCTTCCCGGGCTGCTAACCTTCAAATGACCCAACTAGTCTGACATCACCAACTCCCAGGATTCTCACAGAGCTTAAAAACTCCCAGCAGCCCTGCAAAAGCAGACAGCCAGAGAGGCAGGCGGCGGGCGCGCAAGCCGCCGCTTTCTTTCCCATTTCTCACCTTAAAAACAATGCAAGAAGGGCTTTGAAAACGAGCAGGGGAGGAGTCGGGACGCGGCTCCTGGCTCACGTGGAGCGCCAACTTCTCTCCCTTCACGCCTTTTTATTTGCAGCGGCTCAGCCTGGAAGCGAGCGTTCCCCGCTAGCCCGCTCGCCTCCCGCCCACCGCTTCGCCCCCAGCCCACCCTTTCAATTCCTCTGTGCGCTTGTCTGTTAAATTCCTTGTAACGTATGTATTTTTCCACTCCTGGAAGAGCACATGCAAGCCCTAAACTATAGAACAGAGAAGGGGCTACCCCTCGGGGAAGCCTTAGGTGAAGAAACTTTCCATTTCACAGTCTTTCTCTTTCTCCCTCTTTCAAGTCCCCCGCCGGCCGAAGGGATTTTATATGCTCTGCAATTCTGCTTTCTGGATTCAGCTACTTCTTAAAATCCTCCCCAGGCTCTATGCAGCATATGGAGTAGTCAACAATTAGTTACCCCTGCCCCAGACACACTCACACAGATATACAGGATTTTAGATCCTGACCTGAGAAAACATAATGCAGTGGTCAAGAGCATGGATTTGGGAGTCAAACTGAACTAGCCAATTCCAGCTCCACCACTTACCAGCTGTGTGAAAGCATTTGACACTCTACGGGACTCAGTTTCCTCATCTGTAAAATGGGCATATAATACCACCCACCTCAGTGGGTTATTGAGAGGACAGAAATAACCCTTCTTCAGCACTCAGCAAATATCCTGGAACCAATGTTTAGCTGTGACTCATCCTTTTATTTTTCAGCTGGGGAAACCAAAGCCCAGGGAGACTGAGACCTGACTGAAGTCGCACAGCTCAGAATCATGACTAGAACCCAGCCCCCTGGGTTCCCAGTCCAATAGGAAAATGACTTTGCTGTTCCCACAGCCTTGCACCCTAAATAGCCATGTTGGTGTCTAGCCAGTTTTAAAACGTTGAGACGTACAGATGCAATATTTACAAATAAACACAGGCAGACAGCTTTAAAAGGGAGAGCCAATCCATGCTGCAGCCATTTTGCACAACTTGCTTAAGGGATGCAACATACATCAAAGAAAGAAAACTCTAGGGAGGAATTAAAACACCCTCCTTCCTCCTCTGCCTCTCTGGTATTTACTTATAATTCTCCCACAAAACAGGGCGGGCAAGTGGGTGGGCAGGGAGGGAGAGCCTCCTTGCCCCTTGCAGGGGAGAGCTGTGCTCCAGTCTCCTTTTTGTGGATAGTGCTGGAATGTGCATTGGCATCCAGGCCTTTTAAAAGCCTGTCAGGGGGCACCCCACCCCATGCTGAAACGGCTGCTCTGTCTAGCCGAGTTGCTAAGTGGCACTTGTGGTGTAACATGAAAAGTATGCATCACACACACTTACCAAGTCAAAGATCCTTTTATGAAGGTACATTAAAACAATTTTCAGCCCAGCAAGCATAGTTCTTACCATTGAAAAGTTCAGGGTGATAAAGGGTGAGATTTTGCTTAAACTATGTGTTCGTTATTTCTCTCTCTCTCTCTCTCTCTCTCTTTTATATAGGGTCATCATTTTGTAACAGAACCTTATTATAAGAAACTCTTTAACTACAAAGAAAACACGTTTTAAGCAAGGGATCACAGAGGAATTTACAAAACATTTAACACACTGTCATTAAGGTAGTTGTAAAGACACACAAAGCACCACATTATGTGCCAATTTCTACTTGGTCCATGAGACTTATAGCTCCAAATGCTTATTTTAGGTCCTCAGAGTTCCTTGGAAACTAGGCTCTTTTATACCCGATAATGGAGGTGGATGAAAAAATTGTCCGATGAGACAGGAGGAAGCAGCTGTATTTAAAGTACAGCAGAAGGAACCTAGGTTCATGATGAGAAACATGGCACCACTGACAGGTAGGTGTGTACAGGTATCTGTTATCCCCGGGGGGGCCGCTGCACTTCATTGCAAGACATCTTTCCAAAGAGGAGAGATGCACTGGTCACAGGCAAGTGAAAATGGGGATGGGTATCCTCGTTCTTAAGCTAGAGAATCAGCCTCATATAGGGAGACGACTGCTCCCAGATTTCTTCCCCTTATACTCTATCATTGCACAAAAAAATGTGTGTGTGTGTGTGTGTGTGAGAGAGAGAGAGAGAGAGAGAAAGAGAGAGAAAGAGAGATAGGGGTTGGGAGACTTGTTTTCTTTCTTTGCACAAGAAAATTTAAAATTTATAGTCACGGGCCGGCCCGGTGGCGGACTGCTATAGTACGCCGCTTGGGAAGCGCGGTGGCGCTCCCGCCGAGGGTTCGGATCCCACATACAGACCGGCCGCTCACTGGCTGAGCGAGGGGCGGGAGCAACACCGAGGGTTGCAATCCCGTGGCCGGTCCCGGTCCGGTACGGGCGCGACACTGAGGGTTGCGATCCGTTGCCGGTCACGAAAAAAGACAAAAAGGAAAAAAAAAAATTTATAGTCACCCTGAGGTTCTCTTAACTGTAGAGAAATGAACGTGGGCTTTGAAATGATCAGTATTTAAATCTCTGTGAATAGAATATTATATAACGCAACAGTGTTTGCTAGTCAATTCATTAATTATGCTGATGGCAATGATTAGAGCTATTACTTAATCCAAGTATTAATTTATAAAACAGACCCACAATATAGCCACATGATTCTTATCATTTCTTCATCAATAAATCTAATTCTTACACTTCTTGAAAACTTGATTCTTCTTTGAAATCCTTCATCTTAAGTAAAATTATAGGAAGACATACAAATAAGTCACATTTTTAAAATATGTATCCATGTACTATAAAGATTAACAAATAAGGTAAATAGTGAAAAATAGACCAGTTAATTTGTCCATAATGAAGTTTAAATTTTTTACACCATTTTAAATATCAAACAGTTGGAAGAAACCTTCCCAAATATCCTCTTGGTATGGCATAAAATAACATCTTGATATGTGTCATCTTCGTCTGTTTTCCTTCTGTTTGATCAATGATCTAATAAAAATATTTCCAACCAACAAGCAAACAAAAAGGAAAAAACAAAAAGCAAAAGTTTGAGAACAAAATCCATTTTGTTTCAGAGTAACTGTGTATTTGTCAGTGTGACACAGCACATTTGAAACCCATAATCATAAAACAAAAATTTATAGCCAGGGTTCAGGGTCTACATCTGTTTCTCTGGTTTTTGTACAGCAATTACCCACTGGACAATCCAGAAAGAAACATCATGAATCAAGCTCTGCAAACATGTTTGAACTGGAGAGTTTTCTGAAGAAAGAGCAGGCATGTCTGTGCACCAGTGCTGCAGCCGGCCATGTTCAAAATTGGGCAGATACCTCATGATTTCTAAATAAGAAGATTCTCCCAGGTGCAGACATATCCATCCCAAGCACATGACATGCAAAGTGTGGAGGGCAGGGTGGGGGGAGACACCGATCATTTTAAAAAGATACGTCTACCTCTTTTATGTGGGTTTTTAAAAATTTAATTATTTATTTAAAAACTTTTTTCTCCTGTTAATCTCCTCTTGTCACAGTTCTGCCAGACGAATAAATGACTAGTACTGAGTGATGGTATATTTCGCAGGGAAGCAAAGACAAGGGTATGTTGCCAGGAAGGCAAGTGCTAAAGCTGTTCCCAGGGTTTGAATATGACCAAGCAGAGCTGCTTCTGTGCTGGTAGCTGGAGGACGATCTAATTCATAGAAACTTTGCTTTTGGCCCTTCATTCTGAACACCTGCTATTTAACAGGTCTGTTGACATCCATGGATCTTATACCAGAAGACACCATGCATTTCCAAACATGCACTTGCAAGGTGACTCCAGGCATCAGTGTAGAGATTGGGTCTTCTTAGAAACCCAAGAAACATAGGTTTTTCCTCAAAAATGTCTCTTCATCTTGAGTGTTGGCTATTGTATCCTTTATTTGGCTCCTTTCTTTCAACTGTCTGCTTTTTCAGAGTTTCCTCCATAAAGTCTTCCGCTTGGTTACTTACAAACATTGTTCCCCCAGGACAAAGGACACACTTTTCTCTTTCCACATTTCTGAATTATTTTCTTTAGCACTTCTGTGATTTCTGCTGTACATGACTCATAAAGACACCTCTTCAAGCCAACATTTTCTGTTGGTCCCAACCTGAAAGTTAAACACGTCCCCTCCTGAATGCCTCTGTGCTGAGCAATGAGCTCCCTCCCATTTCTCAGCCAGCAGCCACTGCTGGTGGCATTGTCTCAATACCACTTTGGGAAAGAACTATATTTGGCTATATACTGTTGTTTATATTTCCCTTAAATTTAGGTTTTAAAAAAGTTATACATACTTATAATAATTCAGACAGTCTAGTCTAGAAGATAAAAAGTGAAAAGTAAAAAAGTGTACCTAAGTCCTCTATGTATTCACTCACCAAATGTTGAATACCTACCATGTGCCAGGCACTGTGAAAGGTGCTGGGCTTATATTTGTACACCTTTTGGTGGGGCTTGTTTGCTGCTTTTACACAAATCTTATAATAGATATTGTTCTACAACATTTTATTTATTTATTTGTTTTGGCAGCTGGCTGGTACAGGGATCTGAACTCTTGACCTTGGTGTTCACAATACTGCACCAACTGAGCTAACCGGCCAGCTCCTGCAACATTTTAAAATTTAGCAATATTTCTTGAACCACCCATCAAAATAAATAAGTACATATAGAACTATCTCATTTAAAAAATAATTGACTAGAATCTCTTTACATTAATGCATTGTAATTCATTTAACTAGTGCCCAGCTGCCAGACATTCAGGTCGTTCCTAGTTTTTTAGTATTATAAGAAGCCCTGTGAGTATATGTACCAATACATGTGCTGAATAAAATTCTAGTAGCAGTATTGCCAGGACAAAGATTATGTGCATTTAAAAAAT